GGAAGTTTGTACTGAGAATATTTCTGGATATTTATTCTTTTGTTGAAAATTCTTATTTCATTTTTGATTGAAATTATTATACTTCTAAAGAGCATTGAAATGATCCCAACATATGTATATAAACATTTCAAAAACTATCTACGGGATGTCTAGTATGTATACAAAATGGTATAACATTGGAGGGGAAAGATCAAAAATAAAAGTGAATGGGGAAATGAAAGATAGAACATAAAATAGAATTCATAAAACGCGAACTAATATATGAATTAGTTATATATAAAATTAGTTTGTGAATGCTGGAAAGATAAATAAGTCATCAGGCCAGGCGCGGTGGCTCATGCCTGTAATCCCAGCACTTTGGGAGGCTGAGGCAAGCAGATCAGGAGGTCAGGAGATAGAGGCCATCCTGGCTAACACGGTGAAACCCTGTCTCTACTAAAAATATAAACAATTAGTCTGGTGTGGCGGCGGGCGCCTGTAGTCCCAGCTACTCGGGAGGCTGAGGCAGGAGAATGGCGTGAACCCGGGAGGCAGAGCTTGCAGTGAGCTGAGATCAGGCCACTGCACTCCAGCCTGGGCGACAGAGCGAGACTCTGTCTCAAAAAAAAAAAAAAGAGTCATCAGTGAGATAAACAGAGTTACTTATGACACATACTTATGAAAGTCATTTGATTCTCTCTCTTTTACTTTGGCTTTTGTGACTTACTAAAAGTCAAATCTTTGTCCAAACTGATTAGTTATCAAATAAATGCAAATTTGAGTAACAACAAGGTATTGTTTTACATACATTAGATGGTAAACATTCAATTAGAATATAAGGTCAATGTAGAATGTGAGTTCTATGAGAGCAGGGATGTTTGTCTATTTCGTTCATTGCTATGTTCCTAGTGCCTACAACAGAACCAGGGCACACAGTACACACTCAGTAACTTTTTCTAGAATCAATGAAAAATATTAGTAAACTAAGTATTGCTAGCATGGGTGGAGATGTGGGGATTTAGAGCCTCTCTGCTTTGGGAAGATAAACTATGGTAGCCACGCTGTATACTAATTTAGTACCATTTTATATGCATAAAATATGTGACCTGCTAATTTTGCTCTTGGGATTGTATACCAAAGACATTCTCAGCGGAAGTCTTTAGAGTACGTGTACTAGGAAGTTCACTACAGCTTTATTTATGGTGAATAGAGAGTTGGAGTCAAGCCCAGTGTCCATTATTGGAAGAATGAATAGTTAAAATGTGGTGGATGCACCATATGGGGATGCCACGTAGAAGTTACAAGCTTCAAACTAGATAAACATTAAGTGCATGACAGATCTAATAAATAAAGTACTGAGTGAGAAAACTATGCACAAGTGTATAAAGATAAAATTTATATAAAGTAAAAATATATACCCCCAAAACAATAATACACAGCTATAAAGAACACCTGTAAACAAAATAATGTCACAGGCATTGTATTGCTTGCCTTTCAGGAGGAAGAGGAGTAGAAGTAAGAAATAAGAATTAAATTAAATCAGCAAAATGTGAAAATGTCTTATTAAATAACGGCATTAACATAAATTAACAAATGCTATTTTTAAAACCACAAGAAATAAGATTTAAGAGAGAATACAAGAATTTAACTTAACACTACATCTTATCTCAAGTGAAATTGCTTCCTTCTTGTTTTTTACTTTTGTAAATTATCTTATGACTGTTGGACTGAATTGATCCTTCTTTAGGATATGAAATCTTTGATTTTCATTGACAGAAAACTATCAGTGTTCACTGTGATGTTGTCTTACTGGAGGAAAGCTTACGTCTTTCAATTAGTTAAACCATTATACTAAAATTTATCTTTGCTGGGTTGATTTTATAGTTATCTCTGAACTTACTGTCTTCACCTCCCTGCATGTCTTTCCTTCCCCTAGTTTGTGTCTTTGTTAATCAAGGTGAACTAGGCACGTATCTAGGGATGACTGAAGTGGGAAGCCTCGGGATTTTCAGAGCACTGCTTCTCATTCCTCCAAACACAGGCATTAAAGGGTCATCACTCACCAGGTTACTTTCTAAATGTTCCATAAAGAAATCATCTTTTTAAAAAATGCAGACATATAAAATAGTGACCTAGGGACAGGGATTATATGAAGATAATGCCACCTCTACTGAGAGCTAGGGATATGAGAAGGGAGATACTATAAATTGTCCCAATGGCAGATATAAATAATCCAGTTATTTTACAATTGTTTCACACTTCACAATTTATAAATCACGTTTTCTTACATTAACTCGTTCAATTCTCATAACCCTGAGGGCAGGAAAGGGATTATTATTTCTATTTTAAAGATAAAATTGACAATCTAGAGACATTGACTCACTCAAAGTCAAATTTTCTAAAGTAAAACATCTGGGACTTGAACCCAGAATATCTATCTTGAAATCCAGGATATTTTCCAACTTACTATGCTACTAACACTTCTATGCTGCAAGACACTGGGGAGAATTGAGGCTGGACATGATGGCTTACCCCTGTAATCCCAGAATTTTGGAAGGCTAAAGCAGGAGGATCTCTTGAAGCCAGGAGTTCAAAACCAGCCTGGGCAACATAGCAAGAGCCTATCTATAATTATTTTTTTTTAATTAGCCAGGCATGGTGGCACATGCCTGTAGTCTCAGCTATTCAGGATACTGAGGCAGGAGAATGGCTTGAGCCCAGAAGGTTGAGGCTGCAGTTAGCTGCAATTGTGCCACTGCACTCCAACCTGGGCAACAGAGTGAGGCCCTGTCTCAAAAATAAATAAATAAATAAAATGAAAGAGAGAGAGAGAATTGGTTAGTTGTGTATACGTGTAGATGGTTCAATAGAAAGTGGGCAGCTATAAGTGGTTAATTCCAAAAAAAGAGGTCAATATAAAATGATTTCAAAGAGAGGAAAAGGCAGAGAAGCATCTGATGGAAAGCTTACTATTGTACCTGCAAGTTGCCCTGTTTCAACCAAAGAGGCTTAATTTTTGGCAGTGAGTGGGTTGCAGTGTAGACAGCCTATTCACATCCTTTAAGCCTAGGTTGGACATGTGGAGAATTCACAGATCCTCCACCACAGGGACATGTGTATTCCTTACATCTGTGACCTCTGAGACATTTCCCACAGTTGACTGTCTCTGGAATTCCAACCACACTGAATCCTGGATTTGGGGGAAAAGCTTATCCTGCTGCAGCTTGGGTTAGAAATTGGAAAAATCGGTCTCCATTAGAATATCCAGTTTGAGTTCTATAATTGTATTATTCACATATTCTCAGATGTAAATAAGGCTATATATTTACATATGAATTAGTTTCAAAACTTAAATGTTTTCCTTAATTTAAAAGCTTTGTCCTTCGAATGCTGATCATTTTTGATAGAAAATACTTTTCTGAAGTATGACTCATTTATCTTATGTACCACCTCTAAACACTCTCTCACAACCTCCTTATCCCAGACACTCTAGGACAGGCTGTAGCTTCTTAAGAAGCAACTTTTTAAATATTCCACACAGACTCTTTTAGAATTTTCTTTTTTGGTAACAATAAATAATGAAGACTTAATGATTATCATTCTTTATTTTTAAAAGGATGCTTTAAAAATTTTTGATTGCCATCCTATGGATAAAATCTTTCTTTTAATGTTTTGGATTTGTTATAAAAATGCTAAGCTACTACTTTATTTGTCAATAGCTTTATTTAGAGATGCATTGAAATCTTGGCTTTTTTTCTTATAAATCTGTAAAATAACATGGCCAAACATTTCATTTGTTTGCATAAACAGCTATGGTTTAAACATAGCATTTTTTCCTAATGTGAAAGTAATTCATTATAGAATCCTGGCAAGTAGGTAAACATTGTGAACAAGAAAAATGAAAACCACCACCTATTATTCTGCTACCTAGAGAGAAGCATCATCCAAGTATTGTTTCCTTCTAGTAGCAAAGGCATAACTGTGCATTTGTGTGGCAACATGATTTTATGCATGTTAGACAGCAAAGGGACAAATCTAAATTGTTAAGTAATGTCTCAAAGTGTTTATTATTTACAGGTCAATTTTACCTCCTTTATTTTTTAACCTTTGCTAATTCTGTAAGGAACGCCATTTTTTTTTCATGGTTTACACCTGAAACCACAGGATCACAAAAGTGTATTTAAATCAGCAGTTGCAAAATTAACAAATCACAGAGCTCAGACGCAAACTCAATTCACCCGGCATCTCATATCCCAGTAATCTTCCCACGACAATCCAACTACCTCATGTATTTGGATTCCTGCTACAATTTATTCTATTGACTAAATTAAAAGTCATTCTAAAAGTTTGCCTTAAAACACCCTCAAAGTGTTACTAAATTAAGGTTAAATCTCAAGTATAAATTTTCAAGCAATTAGTTTTGGTTTTGCCTGCGCAGAACACCCCGCAGATGATGCCAAATAAAAACTATTTACACGCTACCATAGTGCATTTCTTGTAAAAATATTGGGTCTATAGCAACGATTTGTTAATCAAATTCAGAATTTGATTTGAAATGCCTCCGGCAGGCAGCCAATCCAGTTATGAAAGAACAGAAGCAAAAACCAGAGCCCTAGTGAGTCTCCTCCAGAAGCTAGCTGGGTCTTTTGCTCTCATTAGCAAACTGGTTCCATAAGAAATCACAGCAATTGCTCCTAAAATAAAATATCATAGTTAATTTTTCAATAAATTATTGAACTGTAGTAGACACAAAACATATACATTTTGGAATCTAGAGTTATAAAATATTCTGACATGTTTTAATATAAACAGGAACATTTCCAATGATTGCTTGGATCGAAAATGTTTTTCCCCTTGACATTTGTTTATACTTCCTAGGAAAGAAATTCTATTTATGGATAACTGAATAACACAAATAAACATTAGAGAGAGCTGAAAAATCAGCTTTGATTATGCATGAAAATCTACAATGTCATTGTGTACTCTTATGCTGTATTCTGATTGCCTGTTTATTTTTACAGAACTGCTGGTGAGCCTATGGAAGAGGAGCCAGCCTTGTGAAGTGCCAAGTCCCCCTCTGATATTTCCTGTGTGTGACATCATTGTGTATCCCCCCACCCCAGCACCCTCAGACATGTCTTGTCTGCTGCCTGGGTGGCACAGATTCAATGGAACATAAACACTGGGCACAAAATTCTGAACAGCAGCTTCACTTGTTCTTTGGATGGACTTGAAAGGGCATTAAAGATTCCTTAAACGTAACCGCTGTGATTCTAGAGTTACAGTAAACCACGATTGGAAGAAACTGCTTCCAGCATGCTTTTAATATGCTGGATGACCCACTCCTAGACACCAAGTTTGAACTAGAAACATTCAGTACAGCACTAGATATTGTTAATTTCAGAAGCTATGACAGCCAGTGAAATTTTGGGCAAAACCTGAGGGGTATTCATTCCTGACATTCTGATCAGCTTTTTTGGGGTAATTTTTTTTTTTCAAACAGTCTTAACTTGTTTACAGGATTTGCTTTTACTATGAAAGGATAGTAATTCCACCCAGAATGTAATGTTTCTTGTTTGTTTGTTTTGTTTTGTTAGGGTTTTTTTTTTTTTTTCCCTAAACTTTAACACACAGTTCAACTCTTCCTAGTGAAAGTTCAAGATGGAGGCACTAGCATGAGGCTTTTTTCAGTGGAATAAACCACACTGTATCTCAAAGTCCAAATGCCAAAGGAACCTCACACACTGTTTGTAATGGTGCAATATTTTATATCACTTTTTTTTTAATGTCCATAATATCTTTGTGTTCTCACACACAGGCGATTTGCAATTTTGCAACTGTGTTGGAGAATGAAGCCCCCCCACCTCCCAGCCCCGCATACATCCCTTGTTCTTATGACAGTAGGTCTGAGCAAATGTTCCACCAAGCATTTTCAGTGTCTTTGAAAAGCAGGTAACCTTTCAAAGGTGGTCTTAATTTGTTGCAAATCTATCAAGTACTTATTCACTCACCTTTATTTTTCTGCCCTCTGTCAATTTCTTTCTTCGTACCTTTCATCATTCATTCCTACCTTTAGAAAAACTGAAGATTACCCATTATCTCCCCTATTACTTGAGGGCCTTGACTATTTAGATTATTTTGTTTATTTTCCAGGTTAACACAGTTGTTTTGTCTGATTGCATTTTATTAACTGTGAAGCTATTCACACGAATATCACTTAAGCAACATTGCTCAATTTTCTATGTGTTTGAAATGTATTAACAAAGGCACTGCTTATTTGTAGTCACCTTGAATTGACTTAACCTAGAAGTTGTGCCTTCATGTGAAAAAAAAACAAAAACAAAAAACAGCCTTTAAACAAGTTGCCTTAGTGTCAAAGGTTAAAAATAAAGGACATTTATTTCTGAGATTAAAAGTAACTTACTAAATATAAGTAGGTTATCCTCCTACCTCCTAAAATTCTATTTCAACATATAACTCAAACACCTAAAGATATTGAGGTAGAATATCTCACAGTATTTAATATCTGACAATGCTTTTGAAAGAGTTGATGTTTCTTTTTATATATTTTTCTAACTCAAAGGATATATTAAAGCCATAAGTGAAGATTGTCATGCTTTTATTCAGAAATCTGAAAGAAACCTTAATTAAAACAAGGTTTTAGGGAAGGCCATGATATGAAAGATATGGAACAATGTGGTTTTAGTTAGAGAGGACTCTAACCTGTAAATCAAAGATGAAAGATTTCACTCAAGTAGAATTATATAACTCCCTTTGTTATACAGTCAGACCATATTTTTCATGCATTTGGTTTTTTTAGGATTACCATTTTAATTTTAAAGACTTTTATTACATATACAAAAATGGCTCAATACTTGGTTTAACATCTTAGAAATTTGAGACACCCTTTGAAATAGGAAATCTGAAATGGAATGTAACTTAGTATTAGGTAAAAATTGCTTTCATTGCATATGGGCAAATTCAATCTAGATTCATAGTAGTAATCAATTTTTTATAAATTTTATTTTCATGATATTTTCAGAGAAATTCATACCAATCATATTTGCTAGCTTATGTTATTTTGCAGTGATTGCTTGAGGATATTTACTTAAAAAAATAGGAGAGCCAAAGGCTTAACAAAAGACTCTCCCCCATTTTAAAAAGGAAACTCATGTTTTAATTAGAAAACTAATCGTGTAGTTTTAAAATCAACTTCATAATTATACATTTCTGTCATTACTTTTTAGTCCTCCCAGATATTTTTTAGATGTTGAATAGGAAAATAAAACAGTGTAATGCAAACATACTAATTTACTGAAGTTTCCTACAACAATTTAGCCACATGTTTATGCCAAGCCATTAATCTGATATAGCCAAATCACTAGGACATCTCCATGGTTATTTAGATTTAAAACTTGACACATTAATGAGTTAATCACACATTCTCCCATGTGACACCATACCCAATAGGTTGCACTTAGAATCTTTCAGATACCTGGAGAAGCAAATGAACTATGGAGAGGATTATTCACAGCTGAATGTAGCTGTAAGAACAGAATGCCAGTGCTTTTTGATTATACCGTTACAAGATGGAGCACAGCCCTGAGGGACAGAATAGAGGCTTTCAGAAAATATCAACACTTCTTTTGAAATAGACCAGCACTTTTTGAAAGGGTAGTTTCACTTGATATAGTTTTTCTTCACTTACAGGTTTAAATTTTATTGCTCACAATTGTTCTGAATGAGAGGCTAGAAGAGTATTATCAATTTTGCATCTCTTTGTGATCCTTACTTTGAAGAAAATCACATAGGCTCTCTCACAGTCTCATGATATCTCATATAGGTGAATAAAAATGATTTTTCATAAATCTAGTAAATAATACTAGGAGTTTAATAAACCGTCAAACATAGGTATAAAAAGAAGTCTTAAATATTAATTTTTCCCAATTGTATAATTTGGGGCTGGATATTAAACTAAAAAATACAGTTCATTTTATTAAACAGTAACCAAAATGGACTCAAAACCAGAGGCTATGTTACCATTGCTTCGTAAATGGAAAGAACATTTTGAGATGAACTATCTTTAAATATTTTAACAAGTTCATAATATCAATAGTGGGGCTGGAAGTCAGCTTTGGAGAAAATAGAGATATTTGTGAAAAAATGACTACAAATCACATTTCTGTTACCAATCCGGGGGATGGAAATCTTGCCTTCAGTGTTTACTCCAGCTCTACACGACACTGTCACTAACCTCTCACTGACAACATGATGGCCTTGAAAGCAGGGCATCTCCTCCCACAAAGGCTTCAGAAATTACAGGACTGGTCTCTCTTAATAGTTCAGTCCTGCTTTATTTCCAAAGGTCATTTATAAAGCCTTGTGGATTTACTGGGTTTCTTTACAGACTCCATATGGAAGTAAAATAGAAGGATCATTTGGAAAGTCTCCTGGGAAAAAATTCCTCTTCAACCAGCATTTTAAAACTTTTGAGACAAGAGTTTTGCGCTTGGTGCCCAGGCTGCAGTGTAATGGTGCAATCTCGGCTCACTGCCACCTCTGCCTCCCGGGTTCAAGCAATTCTCCTGCCTCAGCCTCCCGAGTAGCTGGGATTACAGGCATGCGCACCATGCCTGGCTAATTTTTGCTTTTTAGTAGAGACGGGTCTCCATGTTGGTCAGGTTGGTCTCAAACTCCCGACCTCAGGTGATCCACCCGCCTCAGGCTCCCAAAGTGCTGAAATTACAGGCGTGAGCCACTGCGCCTGGCCAAACTTATTGTCTTAACGCCAGCATTTATGTTTAGAATAATTAATTTGAATATTTCTTAGTATTTCTCTGTTGAATGTTTATTCTCAACTTATCTCAATGAAAGAAATATTAAAAGTCTTATAGCCCCAAAAGAAACAAGCCAAACTTTACTGTCTTAAAAGTGATTCACTCTGAACTTGAAATGACTCTGTCAGTGTCTGACATTGTCATTTCTAGTGGCATGTATCTTAACATTCTTTTCCTGCTTCAGGAATGAATTCACTTGTCCTGCTGAGAAAATAAGGGGAAAACAAGATAGAAGTAGAAAACAACACACCTGTTCAACTATTTTCATAAAGATGGCGTTTTTCACTTTCAAAGAAATGAAAACCAGATGGCCTATGCTAAGAAGTGAAGGCATTTAGTTGTCTTCAAAACTGATCAACATGGTCATGATCATCATCAAATTTCTTGTGTTCCCAAAGGCCACTATTATAGTACAGTCTCCAGCAGTATTTTGTACAATGTGCTGGCTTTGGAATGAAATATTATAATGTATCTTGTCACCTTCATCAACACCACCATTAAATATGTAAGTTCCTATGTGTGGCTTCTTTTTCTGGGCATATTTGCATCAAAAATCATAGCCCTTGCCTCCTTGCTTGCTTTTACTCCATTAAATGCTTTATGAAGCAGAGCATGATTGTCAAGTGGCCAGAGGATGACATTTGTAAGTGAACAACGTATACTCACACATGCTATACTCATACTACATAACTTAATTTCTCCAAATCAACTGCAGTCCATTTTATCTATGACATTCCTAGCTTCGTATAATGCTTTTGTAAAATACATTAAATACAATTGAGTCAGTTATTACTATGCTGGAAATAACTAGGTCAGACAATTAAACCTAAGACTTCTGATCTGGGGCTGTTTGGACTTGATCCAATGATAAGGTAATGAGGTTGTTGCAATTTCTCAAACCATCTTAATTCTCAAACTGAAACATTTAGCAAATACATGGTGAATCTGGTGTAAACTTACAATCTTTCTAACAAATAATGTTCTTTCAACTCTTCTCTACTTTTTCTGCCTAACAATCTATACCAAATTGCCCATATCTAAGCAATCAAAAGTTTCTGAAATCTCTACACTATGTTTCCTTAGTAGAAATGACCTTGACAACTTATTTTCTGAGATACCGCTAGGCCTACTGTCTTTCATGCCATTTTGTATAAACACTTTGATAGACGCTCTGTCTTTTGTTTTTCATCTCTTTTCAAGAGCCACTTGACTTTTTCGAATATTCTTAAAAGATAGATTTAGTTATTGTATTTTGGTCTACAGTTTTGGACTTGGCAGTTTGTTTTACTAAGCAGAATTATTCTTTTTGTTTCAAACATAGTTTGCCATCATTCTTGCTACTCCCTAATCATGTTGTGCTAGTTATTGTGTAGAGAAAATTGTACATATATTACCTTGTCCTTTGGAAGATGTCTTTGAGTCAAACCCACAAGCATGAACTCTCACCTGAAGGAAAACTGGCAAAGGAGAAACTGTAAATCAATATGTTTTGAAAGGAAGAGATTTCCAGAGTTTAAAAAAAAAAAAAAAAATTGGGATCCTTTTATTTTTTTGTTTAGGCCTTAGGCACAATAGAAGCAAATGTTGCAATGTCAAATATAATAGGGAGAGTTCAATGTTTCCTGGGACATTGTGGTCATGTCTTGAATCCCCTTCTTGGAGCTGGCATTTTATGACAATTCATAGAGATCTTGCAGCAATATTGAGCTATTGGTTTTATTAACTTAAAATTCAACAGAAATGGAGTCATTTTAAAAAAACAAAGAATTAAGAATTGCAAAATCTGAAGTGGAATGGCACTTCCTTGGGTATGTAAGGGTTGTTTTTGGATAAAACTCCCCATTTGTTCTTCCTACACTTTAATAGTCTCAAATTCTTTCTGGGGAAGCAACGTCAGTGTCTACCTCCACAATAACTACGATATAGGAAATTGCCCTTTCAGTGGTTTCTAGGTATAACAAACAAGCCGTTAAAAACAAGTGACCATTTTGTAGGTTACAGCCTTAGCAGTCTGTGTCATTTGAAAGCAAATGTCCTGATATTTTTAAATAAGGTAGGCAGGGCAGGCAGGAAACCAATATTTATTAGTTTTGTGATTAAACACTCTAGACCAGGCTTGTTGATGTGTATGCCAATAATCTAGAATTTTTGGCTTAGTGTAAAATAAAAATGTCTTTTCTATTGTGGTCTGATATCTGTTTCTGTAATAAGATCAGTTTGTTGTCCTCTGTGCACCAGTGGTTTTGCCCTTAATTTTTTTTGGCTAGCATCACCAAGATCTGTCATCCAGAGCTGCTGAGAAAAATACATGTTGCCAAACTTTTCTTAAAATTGTGCTGCCAGTGGCATTTTCCCAGATGTGAAAAATAATAATCTAATAAAGGATTAATACCTAATAACAATATCATTGTTGAACATGCTCATGGAATGTCCACCTTCTTCTGATTCCTTTTTTGTATTTGAAAATGCAATGGTGTGTTCCAAATTATCGTTGATGTTGTTAATGTCATGACTCTCCTTTGAAGAGAATAAAAGATTCCCCTTTGTTTTGTGTTTTCTACTGAATTAGATTTTCCTCTAGTCCTATGTGAATAAAAGCTATTTGAAATAAAAGTGTTCTTATTTTTCTATGTCCTTGGTGCCTACCATTAGACTCTGGATAGCAAATATTTGACGAATATTTGTTGGATAAACAAAATATTATGAATCATGAATTACCATAAAATGTACAATTCCATTTTCAAAAAAAAAATTTACTTGTGACTAAATCTCCCTTACAGTAATGTGAAAATTCACAAAAGAAGAAGTAAATTAAAACAGAGTTGCTATTTGCTTGTAGTTTGATGGTTAGAATAAAGAACAATAATAACTACCACTGATAAAGTACCTGCCATGTGCCTGTCACTCTACTGAACACTGTACCTGAATGATATTTAACCATAACATGAACCCTGCATCATAGGTGTTATTAGTCTAACTTAGAGATGAAAACATCAAGCATTGAAAAGGTTAACGCATTGTTACAGTGAGAGACAGGATTTGACCCTTATCCTCTCCAGATGTATGTATGACACATCAAAGATGACATACTAAAGATATTCTTTGACTAAAAAACTATGATTAACCTTCAGAACAGACTGTATGCTCAGTCTTTGCTAAGTTTTATTAAGTCATTTAAATGAATCTGGTAATTGTGGCTAGATTTGTGCAGTAAGTACAAGTTAAAAAGTTGTTGTTTCTATTCCTATATCAACAACTTTCTCTAATCTGGCCAAGAACCCTAAGATATCTTTAGAGCACATACTCCAAAAACTGTTTAAATATTCCAAGACCAATACTTATTTTTGTATTTTATAACCCCCTGCAATGTTTAACATTTTAAAATGTAACTGTTTCCAATGGACAATGGTTTGGGTTCCTTCTGGGAAAAGATAGTAATATTTTGTCTAACAAAAGGCAAACTTGAGATGGAGTAGGTGGGTAGACTGGGTTTCAATGGTAAACACCTTTGGTTTAATCAGATTTGTCAAATGGCAAATGTTACTTTGTGGTTCTTTGTTTCATTTAAGTTTCCATGGTAAAAAGCGAACAATTGAAGAAGTGGAGCCTATGTTTAAAAAGTAAGAATGAATGTCATATTGTTATTTTAAAAGATTAGTTTGTAGTTGAAAAAGGAAGCCTAAAGAATATCTTTCACTACTTAACACTTCTGTGGTGCTTTAGGGTTATTGAACCCAAAATATTTCCAAATATAGTAATTACCCCTCAACTTTGTAATACCAATAGGCTATGCAAATTCCTAGGTCCTCCAGGTTGACCATAAATAGATAATTCCCTTCATGCCCTAATAATTACTTTGGAAAAGACTGACAGCTATTCTTTCAAATGTCCTAAGAAAAGGAAAGTAAGATTCAGGAAAAGAGATGAAAAGATTAATGAATTCCTTCTGTAATCTTTAAAAAAAAAACTAGAGAAATAAGAGGATTTTTAAAAAGATTACATGCACCTTAGATCAAATCAAATTTAAAGGTCTTAGTGTATCTAGAAAAGGTATTATTAACTCCATAATGAAAGCTTATACATTTAAAATATAATGCCATATATATTTTGTCCTAAAAAATATTTTTTCCAAAAAAAATAAGGTTTAAAAACTTAAGATGTGATAAAGTGAATCAATTTAACGGTATAATAAAAAGTACATCTTTTAATAAGTTAATTGTATATTTATGAAGATTTATTCTTAACCTAATGTGAAGACTTTACATCCATGTAAAATGAAGTTGTTTCTTTTAAGAATGTGTATTTTTAGTGCGCAATTTTTATTTTTTCTCCTTTGTTAAACAGGTTTTGTTTTGGTTGTTTTATTTTTTCGAAAAATAAAAATATTAATAGTTATTTACCACTTACCCTGTGCTCTTGTTTAAATCTCACAACGAACCCATGAGAGGGGTAATTTAATGGATGAGTAAATTACAATTTAAATGCCAGAACAAAGCTCATCTTCTTTACTGCTATCCAACTAGTGCTTACAATGTAATCAACATTCACTGACAGCCTACAATATGTCCTAAGTATTCAGTACTTGTTCTCAGAATAGCATGGAAAATAGCAAGAAAATTGGCAATATAACTATATAAAGGAAATGAAAATTTCATTAAATCTCCATCTGATATAACTACAAAAGAAATATTACCATAAAATAGGTTTGACTTTAGAATCATGTGATACTAAGACTGTCTAAAAAATATGACCTCTCTTTTTTCTTCATAAAATTATAATATGGAGGCAGAGATACAATAGATTTAAGAAACGTGTGGTCTAAATTACATATAATTATATTCATGGAAAGATTTGGGCACAGCCCTATCAAAAAAGTCGATATGATTAGAATATTTGTTCAAGTCCCTTTCATCCCTGAGGTCTACCAGATCAACATTCAATTAAGATGTAATGTTAAGATGTATAAAGACAGGAGATTAATTTTTTAAAAATTTTTTTGTATTACAATTTTAAGTTCTAGGGTACATGTGCACAATGTGCAGGTTTATTACATGTATATACATGTGCCCTGTTGGTGTGTTGCCCCCTTTAACTTGTCATTTACATTAGGTATATCTCCCAATGTTATCCCTCCCCACCTCCCCGCACCCCATGACAGGCCCTGGTGTGTGATGTTCCCCATGACAGGAGATTGATTTTGTAGAAATCCTTTAAAAAAAAAAAAAACTTAGATATTGCTTTCTAAATTCCAGTCATTTGCTTTTCTCCCATTATTTTGTTTTAAAAAATTAATTGCTTATAATTTCTGGAAAGACATGTCCCCAACAGTCAAATTCTTTAATAATCAATTTGGCTTTACTTCATTGCTCCTTAATAAAGCATAATTTCCAAACTCTTCTACTTTTCAAAGCACTGATCTTGATAAGCAGTATTTTTAATTCTTTCATCAGACCCCAAATCCTGATAGGCTGTAACACCCTCAATCAGGCAGACTGTACTTAGAGGTGGTCTCTGGGCCATTAATGCTGTGCTACCATTTTGAAGTTTTAATTTTCCTATTTTAAAATCCAGCCAGTGTTTAACCAGATACATTCGAACTTCTTTTTCATGGTTACATACAGTGCCCTTTCTCCCACTAGACTATTAAATTTAGCTCAGAAGTCCCAAACAGACAAAAACACTGCTTTGCAATTAGTACATATTTATAAAGGATGGCTAGATGCTATAAAGTAGTCATTTCTTGTCATTAATTCTTTTAAGCTCAATGGAAAGTGGATAGAAAAGTATATGGCGCCCCATATAATAATCTGTGTTAAAAAATCAGTGTCATTGGTGTCGAGATCAAACCGAATCAGATGTTTACAGCTTTAAGAAACAATTTTGGCCGGGCACGGTGGCTCACGCCTGTAATCCCAGCACTTTGGGAGGCCAAGGTGGGTGGATCACCAGGTCAGGAGTGCGAGAACAGCCTGACCAACATGGAGAAACCCCGTCTCTACTAAAAATACATGGTGTTGCATGCCTGTAATCTCAGCTACTTGAGAGGCTGAGGCAGGAGAATTGCTTGAAACCGGGAGGTGGAGGTTGCAGTGAGCTGAGATCACTCCATTGCACTCTAGCCTGGGCAACAAAAGTGGAACTCCATCTCAAAAAAAAGAAAAGAAGCAATTTTAAAAGCAGGTAAGTGTACAAATCTTGTTTATACTCTAACAATATTCAAGTTTAGTAGATGAATTCCCAGAGTATTTCCAGAGAAGAGAATGAAGGCCTGGGAATCCAGACTTTTAGTTTCCAGCCCTATTTCTACAACAACCTCGCTTGTGACATTTGGCAAGTTCATTATCTTCTCATAGCCTTAATTTCTTTGTTATTTCCTATTTAATGATTTGAAAGTTATACACCCAACTTTTATCATTAAAAAATATACATTATATGTCTATTATTTTACTCACACTAGTCAAATGCAGCATTGACTTAAAAGTCAATTTTCTTAACTACACATGTCTACTCTCCACTTGCAGAAAATAAGGACCACAAATTGTATTGAGTCCTACATATTCTATTTTATCCTACATCTCATTATTGCCTTGCATTTAGTTTCACTTTATTTTTAAACCTTGATTTTATTTAGAGCAATTATTGATATATATGTGTGACCATTTACATAAAACCAGTTATAATAATACAAAGGTTGTCAATAAGTATTGCCAATATCTTTGCACAATAATTTTGGTAACACCTCATTTCTTTCTTCTTTCAGGATGGGAGTGATTAACTTTCTTCTAGCTTGCCTGTTTGAGATGAATTTATTTTTTATTTTTTGGCCTCACTCTTGAATGATCATGACTGGGTATAGAATTCTAGATTGCCAATTATCTTTTTCTCAGCACTGTGATAACATCATTTTATTGTACACTTGCCTGTACTTTCACTGCCAAGATGCCTGTAATTGCTTAATAATTGTTTCTTTGAAAATAATCTTTTTTCTCTTGGCATTTTAAGATCCTCTCTGTGAGCAAGTGTGACTCCGTGTGTGTGCGTGTGTGTGCGTGTGTGCGCGCACGCGTGTGTGTGTGCATGTGTGTGTGCGTGTGTGTGTGTGCGCGCGTGTGTGTGTGTAAGCTGCAAGGGACTGACTGTGTTTCCTAAATGTAAAAATTTCATTATTTCCTGTATTCTGGAAAATTCTAAGTTATCTATGTTTGATAATAGCTCCCCTAGTCTTCTATTCCATTTTTTCCTAATTCTTGTTAGATAGAACTCGTTAGATACATACTGATAAGCCTTACTCTGTACTTTATGTCATTAAACTTGTCTTTTACATTTTCCACTGCATTGTCTCTTTATGGTGTCTTTGAATAATTTCCTCTAAAACTGCAGGTCTAATTGTATGCATTTTTATACTATAAATTTTAATTTTCAAAAACGTTATTCATTTTTAAAGATGTACTTAAATTTTAAATATTCCACTATTCTAGTGTCTTATTTCTTTATTGCTTAGATTTCTTACTCTATATTTTAATAATTTTCTACACATTTAGTTTACAGTCTCTATCAGAGTTCTCTGTGATTTCATACTCAAGCACTTGCTTATATTAATTTGGTTACTCCTC